CCATCCTGAAAGGGCTCATTCAACCCGGAGAGGGCTCAACCTGACCTGGACAGGGTTAATCCCAACCAGAGAGGGCTCATCCCACCTGTGCAGGGTTTATTTAACCCGGGAAGGGCACATCCCAATCTGGGCAGGGATCATCCCACATTAACAGGGTTTATCCCATTGGGACAGGGCTGATCCCACTGGGACAGGGCTGATCCCATTGGGACAGGGCTGATCCCATTGGGACAGGGCTGATCCCATTGGGACAGGGCTGATCCCACATGAACAGGGCTGATCCCACTGGGACAGGGCTGATCCCCCTCCTCCATCCCTCCCATCCCGGCACACTCACGTCGGTGTTGCAGGAGCGGTAGCGTTTCCTCTCTCCCAGGCAGTATTTCCCTCCGATGGTGGGCCTGCCAAAGAGTGAAGGAGATGCTGAACAGCCCCAGGCACTGTTTGGGGCAGGATTTTACCCCGAGGAGCTTGGAGTGGCTGCCCCAGGTGGCTTTTCCCAACCCTGCTCTGCCACAAACACAGATCCTGCCTGGGCATTTCTGGAGTGCAGCCCCTAAAATCTCCCCCCAAGTGCTCAGTGGGTTTTGCACAGAGGGTTTGGGGCTGTGCTGCAGCCCCAACACCAAGGCAGAGCACAGGGCTGGACAAAGGCATTCAAAACCTGCCAAACTTTCCAGGAGCCATTCCTGAAATGGAAACAGGCCCAGCTTTCTCTGAGTGGAGCTGTCACTGACGCTCAGGTGACACGAAGGGACATGCACAGGGCTGGGGTGGCACTGGAGGAGCGGATTATTATCAGGATCTTTGACAGGATGATGTGCCTGCTCTACTGGGAATGGCCTGAGGCTGCTTTTCCTTCTCTTGCTCCCCACCGCCCTCCCAAAAACGCATGGCTGGAAGGGGCAGGAATTGCTGGGAGAGCAAATTCTCCAGCTGGGAGCTGGGAGGGCTCCTGTGTCCTCAGGCAGTGCCATCTGTGCCAGCTTTGCTCTCCATCCTTCTCTCTCCACTCCTCACCTCAGGCACTGCCAGGGCTCGGGGCAGGGAAGCCTGAAGCTGACAAATCCCCTTCCCCACAGCAGCTGGGGCACAACAGAGACCCCTGGCCCTGCCTTTCCCCCTGCCCTGACAGCCCCGAGCGTACCTGGGGCTGTCGCAGTGGCGCACGGACGAGGACACGCCACCGCCGCACGTCCGGCTGCACTCGCCCCACGAGGACCAGGACCCCCAGGCTCCGTCCACGCCCTCCGGCCGCGTCCCGAAGGGCACACACTCCCTCTTGTAGCACCACTGCGGGGACACAGAACGTGGCACACCCCGGGCACGGCGGCTCCTTCTCCCAGAGCCGCCACCGGACTCGGAGCCAGCGCAAGGCCGGGAATCTGAGCTTGAAGCTGCACCAGAGCCAAATTCTCCGAGGGAAAGGGCCCAGGGCCCCCAGGCCAGCCCCCGTGGCACCATCCTGGGAGGATGGTGAGGGGTCACATCCCACAGGGTGCCCAGAGCAGCTGTGGCTGCCCCTGGATCCCTGGCAGTGCCCAAGGCCAGGCTGGACGGGGCTTGGAGCAGCCTGGGATGGTTTGAGGTGTCCCTGCCATGGCAGGGGTGGCACTGGATGAGGTTTAAGGTCCCTCCCAACCCAAACCAGTCTGGGATTCTTCTCTAAAGAGGTCCTGGGGCCCACACCTCACATCTTATAAAAGCCCTCGGCAGAATTTCAGGTGATCTTGGGTTGCAGCTGCTGCTGCTGGGCAGGGCCAGGATCCCTGGGGGACACGGACACAGCCACTGCCAGGACAGAGGGAGTTCTGTGTGTACTGGGAGCTCAGGCTGTGGTTCCTGTGTCCAAAATGTCCTGATCAGCAAAGGGCTCGTGTTCAAATAAAGTTTGAATTTTAATATCAGCGTTGTTGTGTCATTGCTGTGCTGAGGATCCCTACAGAATCCCCATCCTACTGGGAGACAGATGCTCATGGAAATTTGCCTGTGAAATATTTCCTCAGGCCTGGCCCGTGTCCCACAGCCCCTGCAGTCCCCAGGGATGGGAGGGTGGGACGGTGCCAGAGCCGCCGCTCTCCGGGCACCGTGCCGGACACAGAGCCCCGGGGACTGAGATAATCCCAGGAAGGAAGAAAGTGCTGTGTGCTCCTTCCAGGGGCTGGGAACCCACCCTGGAGCTGCTGGCACAGCCTCTCCCTGCTCCTCCTGAGCCAACTGTGCATGGGCAGCTGG